CATAGCATTTCTGCATGGTATATTCATTAACATAGATTTACAACAAATTTAGAATAAATAAGGTACATATAAAATGATATGATGTTCTGATAACTCAAGAGATTTCAGTAACAGAAAATTTCAACTGATAAAGACCAATAACTAGGGTAGCATGAGATACCTCAACTACCACTGAAACAAAGTAGAAGTCTATCACACAATGCAAGTGGTAGTCACCCAAACCTTTCTTTCACCAAAAACATTAGTTTCTTTTTGCCTTTGTAAGCAACTTTCATATTTTCAACTAGCTGTGCAAATTGAGCATGGCCATCATGAGCCAGAACAAACGTATCCCTTGCCTTCCCTAGGAAGTCAATAAAATCACCATAGTGTCTAGGTGAGATATGAGTAAGGCGGGAATGAGTTGTGTTGACATATGCAGCAACAGCTGCTTCTAAGAGTTGTCGGAGAGGTGGTTTGTCATATGACAAAGGTTTTACACCTCCACCACAGCTTCCACGTCCACTACTGCTTCTGTGATGGTGATGGTGGTGATGGTGGTGCTTGCCATCTGGAGGGTGTTGACAAGATCCTCCAGGGGCAGTCATTGAACATCTCCTCAGAATGTCAGAGAGCACGGTTGCACACTGCACATTCTTTACAAGTAATGGAATCATTGTAGATAATTCAGTCTTTCCTAATGAGTGACTTAGAGCACAGGCCCAATGAATGTCATTAATAGCAGGATGCGTATCCTGGGAAAGGAAAAAACAAAGAGTGTTAATGATATTGAAAATAAATTTTAAACACACTAAGCAAGTGGTAGTGAATGACATTACCTGATTATAAGCAAGGTGCACATTTTGCATTGCCAGCATAGCAAGTTTATAAGCTCGAGTTGGATAGGCTCTGTGTTCCATGTACCGGGCTATAGTAAACAGCTGTGATGAAGTCATTATATTTGCAGCTGCCTCAATAACAATTTGATATGCCGTCTCAAACGCCATTGCTTCATTTTCACAAAGTGTGAGGGCATTTAGGGCACAATTTGGAGGATCCTAAAAATAGAAATTATTAGTTTACTCTAATAAAGTTATTTTTCATGTGCCAAAAACTAATAAAAAAAATATTGGTTGTAATAGTTACCTTTGTAGCACATTGCAAGGCTAAAGTTCTTGCACAACCAGATAGTTCTTCTTGCTGAGGAAATGTAAGGTTTAGCCTCATGATTGTATTGTGAGACATTATTGTTGTGGCTACAGATCCTGGAATATGGAGGAATTATTTTATCAGATTTATGGCATGTGGATATGTATTATTGTGGTTTAAAATGAAAAGAATAGAGAAGAAACTTATTATTACCTGTAGCCTCAGTGGGTGTGAATAACTGATACCAATTCTGCATGATTGAAACAAGGGCTTCAAATCCTACTTCAGTTGCACAAGTCACTAACCAGCGCACCATGTCTCGACGCCGCCAGTTAGGAGTAGTAAGAGTCATCCGCATGACCTGATTTTTTTAAAAAGTGAAAAATTAATACTTCTACTACCTTAACAAGCTTTAAAAATACATATTGTTGGTCATGAATCTTACCTGAAGGCCTAATTCAAAAGCAACACTTAAAAGGGCTGGATGTCTTGGTCCATTTTCTGGAGTGGCAAAACGGAAAGCATCTTGAGCTAACTTGAAGAGGTGAGAGGAAGAGTGGATATGGCGTTGTGCTGATTCAAGCACAGTACGTAAACGGACAACTTCCCCAGTCAAGCAGACCAAACAGTCTTTGGCTGCACTGAGCATAGTAGAGGCCAGAGCACATTGTTGAGTTTCAATATGGCCTAACGTAAACCACCTAGGATAACGGTTGAACGCTGGAGGTACTACGTTGCTACTGCTTGTGCCTTCATCTGTATCTTCATGCTCTTCAAGAACAGGTAATCTCATTGCACGCAAGCCAACCTCGTACGCAAGATCTGGGTAATAATTAAGCAAAGCAAGGAACATGAACCTAGCAAACGTGTGCATTGGAATACTTTCAGGGTGAATGCCAATGCCGAGGCCAGATGTAGGGCCACCCTCAAGAAGCACAATCGCTTGACGGCGCAACACAGCCACTAGTGCAGAGTCCAGCTCCATTTCTTGAAGTTTGGCAATCAGTCTGTCCTCTTGCTTGCAAGCCTTTTCTTGAGCATAAAGTCCAGCAGGCATGATGCGTTGCTGTCCGAGGCCGATAAGGGCCACATCTACAGCCAACGTCAAGTAAGTTTCTGAACGATCCCTCGAGCCAACCACTGGGACGTGATGGTACCGCGGAGGCACAGTGCTTGTGGGCTCCTCAACCCCAACAGAATCTGAAAGACAAAACAGAATACTTTGTAGGGGACTGAACAGAACGACGACGAAAACACGAAGCAAATGGGCAAACACGAGGTCATACCGAAGTAAGTGGGTAGTCGGGGCATGTGGTCGTCAGGTACGAGAGATGCCTCTGCGAGTGTGTCGAACACACAGCCGATGGGGTCGAGGGGATGGCCCACCCACCCCTCGGTGTTGTAGACGGACGAGGAGCCGCTGCAGCAGCTGCTGCTCGAGGTGGAGGGCCCACCCCCACCCCCAGCCGCGCTGCCACTGCCGCCCCCGCTGCTAGAGCCCGGCCCCATGGCCAGCCCCAGGCTCATGCTGCCCATGCTGCTCAAGCTGCTGTTGTAGCCGGTGTGGTGGGCCTGGGTGTTCCACGTGGTGGACACGTATCTGGAGGGCGGTGGCGGCGGCGGCAGGGTCGGGGCGTTGCAACCCGGCCCGGAGCACCGCGTCGAGCACGACAAGATCATGTTGTTAGAGCCGCCCTGGGCGCCGCTCGGCGTGGGCAGGGAGGTGGAGCTCGGGCAGGTCGAGCCCCTGCCGTTGCACGAGTTGCTGCTGCCCGTGCTGGAGTCGGCCGGGCAGGTCGAGCTGTTGCTGCAGATGCTGCTGCCGTTGTTGCTACTACTGCTGTTCCCGCCTTTACAGCCTGACCGGTATTGCTGCAACGAAACATCGCTTCGGTTAAAACGACGCACAGACCAAACCAAAAGGCGAGGGAGGAGGTGAAGCGGGTCTGACGGGGACTCACCAGGTGCTGCTGACTCTCGATCCAGCGTCGCTGGGCGATGATCTGCTGCTGCTTCAAGGTGCGGACCACGCCCACGGCGAGACGCAGGGCGGCGGCTTGGTGGCCGTGGGAGCGAAGAGCGTCCACGCGGGCGGCGCACGTCGCCAGGGGCTCTGCGAGACAGACAGACAGTTAGGCCCCAACGCTTCCCTGAGCACAACGCCAATGGGCAGCAGGGCCCGGAGGCAGGACTCACCGTGCCACAGCGGCTGCCCTTGGGGGTTGAAACTGCCCGACGTGAGCGCGCTGTCGGTGATGTGCGAGCAGTACGTGTCGCTCGACAGGATGTTCTTGAGGTGCACGTTGTCCCAGCTCAGCTCCACCGCGTCCAGCGCCCTGTGGAAGACTGTCCTGGGCACGACGGCGGCCGGCCGGCTGTGCGCCAGCCCCCTGGAGCCCCGGCCGCCATAGCGCGAGTGCCTGTTGGGCATGTTGGGGTGCTCCCGGCCCCGGTAGTGGTGGCTGCTGACCGCGCCCGCGCCGCCGCCCGCCCCCGCGGGTGAGCCGGCGCCACTGCGGCCCGCCCCCGCGCCCCCGGCGCCCGCACCGGCGCCTGCACCGGGCGCGCCCGCCTCGCCGGACTCCTCGTCCGAGCTGCTGTCCGAAGAGTCGTAGGCCGCCTGGTGGTGGTACTGCGGGGCACAAGAGAAGACACAGACGGTCAAGCCTTGACACCTCCCCAGTGGGCACTCCGCGAGCCGGACGCGAGACTGACCGCTTCGTGCCGAGTGTTGGCCGCGGGCTGCGGCCGGTAGTCGGGGTCCTCCAGCGGACAAATGTCCATCGCCGCCCACTTCTCCAAGAGTCTTTTCCAGTTCTGCTTTTCCAAGGTGGTGCAGTGGGGGTTGAGGACTATGCACACCCACAGGGCTCCTGTCAATGCAAAAACAGACAACCACCATAAGTAGTCAGCTCTGGGTGTCTAGAACGTATGTTCTTATCGTACTTTAGAGAGTTCCACTTTAAAAAATGATCAAAGAAAAAAAGTACAAAATAATGAACTTTGGCTCACCGAGTTGGTCCCAAAGCTGCCTGCACTTATCCGTCATTGGGGTACCCTGCGACTTCCACAAGATCAGTCTGGGGTCCGAAAGGAACTGTTCCGTGATGAGCGTCAGCATCCGTGCTCCATTCGAATCCCGCGCGCGCAGCATCTCTCGCACCTGCAGCCCAGGAGAGAATGTTTTATTCATCAAAAAATTACAAGAATGCGACACAATTTTACAATGGAGCGTGGCCAATTACTAGGAGGACTAGCTCACCTTGGCGAACAGGCTGTTGAGCTGCTTGTTGGCGTTGTAGTACGAGCCCTGGTTGAGGTAGGACCGCACCTGCTCGCACACTTGCTCCTCGTCCAGGTGCCACGTGTGGTCGTCGTCCGCGCTCGCCCCGGCCGTGGGGTCGGGGGCTCCTGTAAGCAAAGCAGCCAAGGTTCAGCACGGTGTCGACTCTGCCTCTTCATCAGAGTGTAGCTCTTGGAGGGATTTTAATTTCCCGAAAAAGTATTCTAGGGAAATTGTTTAAGATTTTTTCTTTTAAAGTCAGTCTCAACAACTGCCTAAAAATCTCCCATTTTTTTTTTGAAAATTTTGAATGTTATGGCAAATTTTTCTGGAAATATTTCAGTTTCTTCGAATTTTAATCGGGTCGGGAATAGTTTCATTTTTTTTCCAGAAAATGTTCGAACTTCAAAAATTGCCAAGCTCTTGAACACAAGCCTCTTGGTGAGGTGGTGGCGGAGCGTGGCGCTGCGTACCGCTACCGACCGTAAGTGCGTTGCCCCGCGCGGTACTACGCGGTGGGACGCCTCAGACCGTCAGCCCCGCCTTCTTTCGCATGAATTTTGTATTTTATCTGATCAAAGCAGGAGGGGGGAGAAAAGTAGAGAGGTCTATTAGGGCCTAAAAATCCCAGGCCCGCGGCCGCAGCTGCTGATCCACGGTGGGACAGTCCGGCCCGGCCCCGCCCGCGTCCTTGGGCGCTCGCATCCTAATCCTCGCCATCGGCCCCCACGCCTCGCGCTCGCCCGAATTACCTCTCCGCGCCATCGCCCTCTGCCGAGCCTCGACCGCACCCCACACGCCTGCCCCTCGTTCCCACAGTCCCGCCGCGGTGGTGGCCTCCTCGCGCCTCGGCTTTTCCATTCGCGCCTCGCCCCCGCCTGTCGGACCCTCCCCGAACCTCCGCGCCGATCCTATTCCGGGCCAACTCGCTCTGCTATGGGCGGCCGCTCTGGTGCTCAAGCACTGCGCAAGCACCCGCTGACAAAGGCATTCCTCCTCCAGCCTGATTGAAATCTCATTTGC